CTAACCGCCGACCGGTTAGCTCAGTAGGTAGAGCATCGGACTTTAGTGCGGGAGGTCGCAGGTTCAAACCCCGGCCGGACCAACACTCAGGGTCTTAAAATAATTGAGGAGAAGTTGCTGCCTTTGTCTTTCTCCATCTGCAAATGGTAAGATCTTCTCTTCCTCTCGGATAACGACGTAAAATCGGAGGTCCCGTCTCTATACACTTCACTCACTAACCTGTATGAGAGGGACGTTAAAAAACTCACACCATGCACTGTTCGCATAAGAGTAGGGAATGATTCCCGGTGTGTGTGGCTAGGCCTTACTACTAACCCATACTAATTACTCACAGCGGATCTTTGTTGAGGGTGCCTCATCAACTAGCCTTCCTTTACAGTATGGTGTTCCRCAGGGGTCCTGCCTTGGCCCATTATTGTTTACTATCTACACTAGGAAGCTTTTCAGTATTGTCAGAGATCATCTGCCTCAGGTACACTGTTATGCCGATGATACCCAACTTTATCTATCGTTTCATCCTAATTCCAACACGAACGCTGAGGCTGCTCTATCTGCTATGTCTGACTGCATTTCGGATATCAGATCCTGGATGATTTCTGATCGTCTATTGATAAATGATGATAAGACTGAATTCTTACTGATCGACACAAAGCAACAACTTTCAAAAGTCAATATTGATAGTATTCATGTTGGATATGACATTATTTCTCCTTCGTCTGAAGTCCGAAACCTTGGTGCGTGGWTTGATAGTCAACTTACTATGACCACACACATTAGTAAAATTTGTGCTTCATCATATTACCATCTGCATAATATTAGGCGTATCAGGAAATACCTGACGGTTGATAATACAAAAGCCTTGGTCCATGCTTTAGTTACTAGTCATGTTGACTACTGCAACTCTCTACTTTATGGCCTTCCTGATAATACTCTGCAAAAGCTTCAGCGAGTCCTCAATACTGCTGCCCGTCTTGTGTACCAAGAAAACAAGTACTGCCACATTACACCATTGCTACAAGAACTTCATTGGCTACCGGTCAGAATGCGGGTTCACTTTAAAATTCTGCTCCTAACATTCAAGGCTATCTATGGACTCGCGCCAATGTATTTACAAGATCTCGTGGAATTACACTCATCTAAGTACAGTCTTAGATCAACTGACTCAATATTACTTAAAGCTCCTGCCATCAAAACAAAGATTACACTCGGAGATCGGTCCTTCGCCATGGCGGCTCCTAAACTTTGGAACGGTTTGCCACGATACCTTCGTGACATTGACTCGCTCGAGTCTTTCAAGAAAAAACTAAGGACTTATCTATTTCAATTAGCTTTTAGACACAATTGATGTTCTTATAGAATATATATAATTTATATATATTATATATTATTTATAATCATTATATTTCTATTTTATATTATTCTTGTAGTTAAATTTT